CTTCAAACTACCGCCACCACCACCTTTGACACCAGAACTGGCCCTGAGGAGGCGGCCAAGTCTCCGTCCTGTCAATACTCGAGTTTGTGAAATCCCCTCGAAGAAGCGAACAAAGCGGGGTTCGATCTGGCGTCAACCGCCTTGCAGCCAGCAGCAAACGACAGAGAATCCTGGATCGCCATCATCACCCGACTGGCCAGCAGGTCAGCAACAGAGCCAGATCATGCCGTAAAAAGAAGAGGGTCAAGTCGGCGCCGACGCTCAACAACAGCATCCGGGAATCCCTTTACTCCTACGTCCTCGAAGACTTCCGTCGTCGCATTGACGTTGCCATAACGTGGCTCACGGAGGAGTGGTATAACGACCGGCTGCGCCAGAAAACGGAGGGCGACGGCGCGCCCCGCCAATACGAGACATGGGCAGTCAAGCTCATCGACGGCTTCTCGCAGTACCTGCACGCCCAGGATAAGGTGCTGACGCGCTTCCTGGGCGAGGTCCCGGACCTGTCGCCCACGATCCTTGCGCGCATAAAGCTCATCTGCCGTGACCCCTCCGTCGTGCCGCTGGTGCTGACGAGTCTGCTCTACGTGGTCATGATGCGACCGCCGGCGAAGGAAATGGCATTGGACACGGTGCAAGACATCTGGGTCGAGTGTAAGTTTGGCCACCCGATTTTTTTTTTCATCGTCTTGTTTGTTCCAGCAATGACCACAACGCTGACCCTGTTTCTAGACGAGGAGGCACGCCCGCTGGCGAGCAAGTATTTGAACAAGTTCAGGCCGGCCTTCGTGGAGTCGGCCACTCGTGACGCGGAAGAGGCTAGCGCGCCTGTGCCGGCCCCGGTGGCGGCCGTTGCCACGTAGTGACGGCGAGCAACGACGAATGATTGGGCTTCTCATGCATTGATACGAAGATCATGCAAGCTCTGGCACGGGTCGAATGGATACATTTCAGGTGTCGGCGGGTTCCCCTCGCCCTGGGTCGCCTCGACAAGACGGGGTTAGGGCATGATCACTCGCGTGATCCGAAAACAACAATACCCCGGGAGGAAAAGTCGAAGGACAAGCATGAGCACGCAATTGGCTTTTGGCGTTTTAGTGAATGTTGCCTCTTATGGCAAGGAGGGAGATACTGGCAACAGGTATACAAATCTCGTTGTGCGGTCGCTGGTCGGAGGCTGGGCGGCAGGTGTTATCACCGCGGTCACTGTATCATGTTTCTGTAACACCAAGTATCCGGTTCCTCGCGCCCTTTCTCATCTAACTGGAGCAGGTGTTGATGGGGTCGAAACTATCATGTGAACTATACCTAACCACCGACATGTCCGCGTCCAGTTGGACATGTAAATTCTGCTGCATTTCGCCAGTATCCACTCTCATAAGCAGCGTGCAAGTCGTGTCACTGCCTAAGGATATGTGTTAAATCAAGCCTGAAGATCGTGGTCAAAATGGAAGCATAACTTCGGCCGCACGGTCTCAAAATGGAGCTGAATAGAGTAGCCATAAGTCACTGTGACTGAAAGGATACCGCATCCGTTATTCAAAAAGATTTTATTTACCACTAATCAACGACGCGCTTCAAGAAGAAAACTCTGGTGAAGCATCTTCAACTTTTATCCCAGCCGACACATATGGTCATCATCTACCATTACACTTTTTTGTCCCACCCTGCATTCATCTCTTTTTACATGCCATTCGCCTTTTCCTCCAAGACGGAGATGAGATTTGGCGTCGCCTGAGGGACGGGAACCGCCACGGGGTTCAGGGTAGGGCTGGTAGGTCGGCTCGCAATGAACTGTCCAGCAGTGTTAGCAAATTCAAAGTCCACCGATCACTGTTCACTCTTGCTCTGTAGGGCGAGGGATGGGGCTTACGGAGCTCGCCGCGCTCAGCACGGCCAGGAGCGAACTCTGTACGACATCCTCATGGACACCAACACCCCAGACCGTCTGCTTGCTGCCCGTGGGCTTGACCTCAACGTAGGAGGCGGCCTTGACACCACGGCCCTCGCCAATAGCGTGCTCCTTGTAGTCGTTGACGTCAAAGTCAATGTTCACAGCTCGCAGAGCGGCGACCATGCTCGAGATGGGACCGTTGCCGCGACCGCGCAGCTTGATCTCCTCGCCGTTCATAACAATCACGCCCTCGAAGATACGTCTCAAGCTCTTCGTGTCCTGAGTCTTGCCGGGGGGCGCGGGCGCGGGTGATTGCGAGCGATCTGGGCTGATGCTGTAGTCGACCAGGCTGAAGTGGGGGTTGTCGTTGAGGAAGTACGTCGACTCAAAGAGAGTGGTGATTTCGTTGGCCAGGAGCTCGCGTCCAAGTTCCTCGGTGCGGTTCTGAACAACTCTGGAGAACGCCACCTGAAGGCCACGGGGGAGATCAAGCTGCAGCTTGGCCTGCAGGATGAAGGCGGTACCGCCCTTTCCAGACTGCGAGTTGACACGAATAATGGCCTCGTAGTTGCGACCAATATCTTGAGGGTCCAGGGGCAGGTAGGGCATGCCGTTCCATGGGTCTTCGACTGAAAGGCCGTCGCGCTGGCGGATTTGGAATCCCTTCTTGATCGCATCTTGATGGCTGCCGGAGAAGGCGGCACAGACGAGACTGCCGCCATAAGGAGCACGCTGGTGGACGGGGATCTTGGTGCAGGATTCAACCATGTCAATGACTGAGTTCAGGTCGGAAAAGTCGATCTGTGGGCTGACACCCTGGGTGTAGAGGTTCAGGGCGAGGGTGACGAGATCGACGTTGCCCGTCCTCTCGCCGTTGCTGTTGATTGTTCAGTACTTCGTCAGATATAAGGAGTCAGGGAAGGGACGAACCCGAACAAGCAGCCTTCTACACGGTCAGCTCCAGCCATCTGGCCCAACTCGGCCGCTGCAACGCCTGTTCTTTGTTAGCGGCGCCAAAAGCATTCAGCATGTCGGGTTGTACTAACTGCATCCGCGGTCGTTATGAGGGTGCTGTCGAGCATTGTCAGTCAACTTCGTCAATAAGTTAGGAAAAAGATGACGCCATACCAGAGAAATGCAAACATCCTCCCTGTCACCAATGTTGTTGCAGAAAGTCTCGATCAAATCCGCATAAATGTTAGGTGTCGCGAGTTCGACCGTAGCGGGCAGGTTGAGAATGATCTGATCGCCCTTTGATCCGTCGGGGCCCCACGCAGCCTTCACAGCGCGGCATACCCTCACAGCGTATTCGGGGTCCGTGTCGGAGAAGCACTCAGGCGAGAACTCAAACTGCCAATTCGTTCCGGAAGCCTCAGGGTTGTCTTTGGTCAGAGACCTGACGAGCTTCGCGCACTCGACAGCAAGTTCCAGAGTCTGCTCCTCAGTATAGCCAAAAACGACTTGTCGGAAGCATGCGCTTGTCGCGAGATAGATGTGGATAATGGCGTTCTTGGCTCCGCGGACGGACTCGACGGTCTTACGGATGAGATCGGGACGGCAGGGCGACAGGACCTGGAGGAACACATCGTCGGGCACGACGCCTGGGGTTTCGATGAGGCGGCGGGTGAAGTCGAAGTCGGTTTGTGACGCAGACGGAAATGAGACTTCAATTTCCTTGTAGCCGAGATCGCAGAGCATCTTGAAGTAACGCCACTTCTCATCGCCACTCTATTTGCAACGAATCAGTGTCAGACGGCAGGAAGAATGGGTGCGCGCGAGAATCTGGCAACGCACCATGGGATCGGGCAGACTCTGGTTGCCATCGCGAAGGCAAGAACTGCGAGGAGGTGAGTAAGTTTTCTACTACTGGGAGGGTAGTATCTGGCGTACGAGAGCCATCGGGGGGCCTTCTCGATGACCTTGTCAGGCCATTGCCGGTTCTGCAGGCGAGGCGGCTGCTTCAAGTCAGTTGCGGTCCAGGTTGGAAGAACGTAAGGTTTAGTTTCGGCATACCTTGAAGGGCTTGTACTTCTTGATGGGTTCCTTGAGCCTTGTGAGGAGGGTTAAGAATGTCAGTCCGGCTCGACAATGATTTTCTATTGCATGAAGTGAACCGTTGATTGGCAGGTCGAGGAACTTACATCGTCATTTTGGAGGTGGAACGTCGGCCGATGTTTGGGAACCGTTCGGTTGGTGCGGGGCGTTTTTCGCGTGTGAAGAAGCGAGCAGTGTGAGACTGTCGCGATGGTGACACAAGAACCTTCTTCCTTCGTGTGTGAGGAGGAGGAGAAGGAATAAATATGAACTCAATGCGCAGCTCGTCGCGGGTTGTGTCGGAGTCACAACGTCAAAAGTTTGAGTCACAGAAGTGTGATGTGGGGGAGTCTCGAGGTTGGAAGTTTGGACGGTCATCGGCAATGAGGGGCACTCAAGAATGATTCAATCGCTGCACCTACGTCCCAGTCTTCAGAGTAATGGTCCATTCCTTACTCGCGGGGTGGTCCCACAGAAATTTTCCTAGCTCCGAATCCGGACTGCATGCTGAAGGCACCACCGGCCGGATGGCGGGGTCACAAAGTCAAGGTGTGTCCTTCCATTGCCGCATGGAAGCGATGACAGGGCAATGGTCAGCCTCTTTCGGTCCACCTAGCAGTTCAGATCCCATGGCTGCTTGCTTGATGGCTATGGGAATCTATTGTTGACATATTCAAGCGTCTCCAGTATCAGATACCTTCTTTGCGCATCACAGGGCCCAAGAATGCTCTGCTCGGCACATGAATCCTAGTAAGCAGAGATGAATGCTTCAAAGACTCTTCCACCTGTGCACAAGATGGAAACCTCTTACCTTCGTATGAAGCTCCAATGATGGTAAAAGAGCCACCTGCATCGATTCTCTCTTGTGGGGCCGCTTTTGAAGTCGTCTCCAGAAGCCCCCAGTTGAAGCTGAAAACGCCCCATCCCCCCTTGAGTCATGTCAAGCTTCACGCGGCTCCCATCGGTATAGTTCCTTGAAACATCTGCGAAGTCGGAATGCAGCCTTGAAGTCCAAATATGCCTTGCTTCACGACCTCCGAATGATGTTCGCTACGACATCACTGTTGAGACCATAGCAGGCGCGTTCCCTGAACATACTTCATGTCATTGAGCACTTGAAGTTGTCATGATACTTATGTCGAGGGGCACGGTAAATCGGTAATATTTCGATGAAAAGTCTGCTCAGGGCCATTTCCGCGTCGTCATCGAGAGGTTTCGTGCCATCCTCTAGACCAAGACCCCTAAAATATCTCCTCCGGAAAGCCTCATCTTGATTCAGAGTTTTGCTGCTGTCGATGCAAGATCGAGCGTGTTGCACGGAGATGGTCCAACAAGTCCAACACAAAGCCAGAATTACGCCACTGTCTGAAGAAGTCTTCAGTTGCGCTCACTGAATGGGCGTTGCAACACCATACGACAAGAAGCTGATACTGTCTCACCTGCTTGGCCTGTCCAATTTGGTTGAGGTGCTGCTTGAAACGTGACACGATATTGCAGGGTGGTGGGCCATAGTGGCGAGCTTATGCCCCGCCGGGCTCATATCTCGCCACACTCTGGAAAAATAAGGGATGCATACCGGACTTGTTATGATAGGGGGCCTTTGCAGCATGCTGGTTGAGATTTTACACATGAGGTTCGTTTGCTCCAGTCTCGATTAGAGCGACCGCTGCCGCAAGGCCTCAAGGGGTTGACTGTGGAGGAAATTGGACAGGAGAAAAAGGCGGACCAGTCGGAGGATATGGCTGTGTGGACGCCAGATCTTCCCGAAAAAGGGTCGAGGATGTTCCCGGCCTAAAGAGGCATGGGCGAGCTGAGCTGTGAGATTCTCAAACGGACGGTGCTGTGGGTGTTTATGCATGCTTTTTCCCAGCTGTAGGCGGAGAATGACTCGACAACGGGGGACGTGCTTTGGCTGCAATGGACTATGCACTATCGTCTTGGTATGGCACACTGACAGCCAGAATGAACGGGACTAGCTCAAGGGGATCTGGGGAAGAGGTCGATCGTGGCACATCTGTCTGTTTGGTGTCCCCAATTGATACCAAAAGGAGCTGGTATCCATGGTCCTGTCCGTGTTTGTACCGGCGATGGAGGGTAATGGAGGGTGGTCGGATGCTGGGACCGTGCATCAGAGTTCGATCGGCGGATTCCCTGCGCTGCCCAATGTCACTGGATGGATGGGCGTTGAGAAGACGACAGGAGGTTGGCAAGAGCGACCACCGGCCGGCAGGCGACAGGCGACAGGGGGGCTTGGGGGCCTGGGAGGGGCGGTGACGCAGCGATCTTCGTTGCTGGGGAACGCCCTGGCACTGTGCCTAGCTTCCTCTCAGTGGTGAGAAGTGGGGGGCCCAGCATTGTTAGTGGAGAGTATGCCCTGGAGGGAGACAGCGGGAAGGGGCCAACCACCCAATGACCGGGAGCTGGTCCCTGGATGCTGGTCTGCAAATCCTGGTCCGCCTGGTCGAAAACCGAACCAGCAGGCACAGTCCCGTCCATCAGCCCCATCACTCATCGTGCTTGGCTTACTTGATGCGTCCAACTCAATGCAATACCACCACACCACCGTCGACAGCGACAGGAGAGAAGCAAAAAAATCGTAAAGGCATGCACGGGTTGCGCATGTACACATCAAAGCAGGTAAATATCGCCCTTCCCCATCTGCCGCCCCTGCTCGAGAATATCCCGATCTGCTATCTTTCATCCGCTCTGATCGACTCATCGCCTTTTCTCCCCTTCAACGCTAATCCCTCTCAGCCCAGGCCCAGCAATTGCTCTTCACGACTCGATAACCCCCCTACTACTACTGTAGCACTGACCGACTTTCTTCAACCTTGCATCATATCGCATTACCTGTGCAACAGCGCTCGCTTTCCGACACGACTTGGGTACCTCAAAAAAGAGCATCGCCAGTCCCCCTTTTGATCGAACAATGAGCGATAGACATGCCTAGTCTTTTGCAAAAATACCAGAAACCCCGATGTTCCACCAAGTCTCTCGACCAGTCCGACCTCACTCCTAAACACAAAGATTGTAAGAAGGCCTTGCTACGACCTGTTCCAAAGCTCTTCTCGCAGCCTCCAGCCATCGTTTCGTTCCTTTCGAGCCTCCTCTGTCCTTTATTTCTGCATGCTGCCGTCTATGCTCTACACCACAACGTCAGCTGACATTCGTACCCCCTAGACTTCCGATTATCGTCACAATCAGATCGGTCGGCACCCTCCTCCTCTGGTGCCGCCGCCGAACCAATCCCAACACCCATCTCCAACAGCATGATCAGTCGTCGCAGCCCTTTGCCATCCAAGTACACATCACCCTCGCACGAAGACACGCAGAGAATGCAACAGACCATTCGCACGGTGCCCAGTTTCGAAACCCCCAGCGATTCCAGTACCACATCCAGCCCTCGCAACTCAGCCTTCTCTAGCTCTGTCAACAGCAACGCCAGTGCCGCCAGCATGTCCTCTAGTCAAGACAGAGTGTCCAGCGTCAAACTAAAACAAGGCAACGGCGGCTGGGCCAACAGCAACACTATGCACGACACACCGCAACGGCACGACTCTCCAAGACGAGACGACCACTCTCCAGACGATGAGCTTGCCGTGGGTGGTATGGAGAGCCCGGGACCTCCAGGACAGGCTGGATGGGACTCTACCATTGGCAAGGCCGGCCTCGGCAAAACCGGCCGCGTCATCAACAAGCTCGTTAGCGATAACGATTCCCTGAAGCGCGACATCAAAATTGAACAACTTCGTGCCGAGGAGGCCAAGCAGGCCGCCAAGCTTGTGGAGGATAAGATGGAGCGTCTCATTAGCGATTATGAGAGTCGTTTGCTTGAGGCCAATGTCAACAAGACGCTGCTTGCCCGGAAGGAACGGCAAGTCGAAAGTCTAAGCGCCACCGTCGACCAGGAAAAACGTCGAGCCGTGGATGCCTTGGAACGCGAGCGTGGCTGGCGAGATGAAATGGAGAAAATGCGCCTGACGAGCACTCGACAGGTTGATGAGGCCGGCGCGCACGCCGCCCTGATGGAGGGGCGATACAACGCCATCGCTTCGCACTGGAACAACCAAGGTGACGAAGTCAAGAAGGCTCATTTGAAATTGAGAAGCGAGATTGCCGGTCTTGTCGAGGAGAGGCGGCGCGACGATGAGAAGATCACCACACTGCGTGACCTTTGTGACCAGCAAGACGGTAACATACGAGGGCTGAAGAGACAGAGGGATGAGATTGAAGCCACATTTTTGGCGTACAAGGACGAGCAGGAGGAGGCGCTGCACAGCATCAAGACCAATGCGGTAGCCAGGGAAGCAGAGCAAGAAGCCATGCTGAAAGAGACTAGGGAAGTCCTAGCCAAGCTGAAGTGGGCGTTGAACGTCAAGGAGAATGTAGCCGGGGCGGGCTGAAGAGGCCATCCTTCGCTGTGTTCCAACTTGACCGACTACCTGCGCCAAAATGAGCGGCGACACACTACGCATCTGTACCATCTCAACCTACAAAACACCGACATGACCACCACTTCACCACGATACGAGCTTTCTTCATCGAAACAGCCCGGGCCCTACCCGCTTCTTCTCAACGTTTATCTTTAGACCCGGCCACGCGCGGCAGCGAGCGCGCATTCATGACGCTTCTGGGGTTGCAGTCGGTCCCTGCTCGAGGACAATACAAATACACGGCGGCTCTGGATAGGGAAAAGGGGTTATGTACATTCCGGCAACCCCCTTTAGTTTTCTTACGGGCGGCGTTGGAGGCGTTTTCAGCCATACGGGGACACGCCTCTGGCCACGATGATATCAAGAATGAGAATGATTTGTTTGTCCTTTTACATGCTTGTTCACGGCGATTGAGATGGCTATTTGGCGGCCGACGAGAACTGAGTCTGATTGAATCCCTGGTCAAGGGCTGGAGGCACTCCCTTGAGCACTTGATATGAGCATCTTCACCTGTGTTTTGGTAGATCCTTAAGCTCTTGCTTCTACTGCCAGGCATTGTGATCCTTGACGCATCATAAGAAGGGTTTCAGCCTGGAAGCTTCTGAACATCGTGGCCAACCCCTGACCCGTGTACACTGCAGGTGGCCGCACGCCGACGCCACTGTGCCTGCCTTACCGCCACCGCTCGAGCTCCAGGTGCCTCGCACGGCTGCCTGGCACAGCTCCTTCCTAGTTTCCATCGGTTGATAAGCACGCGTAGGCCACCCCATTTCCAACAAGGGCCGCTACAGCGTGACGCATGGTGTAGCGGTCCTAGAGGTCACCCTAAACAAATACCCAATATCACATGCCTCTAAATGTGAGGGCGCGCAGGCCACGGAAGGCGCGTAGAGGAACCACCGGGTTCGAGACGGATACCCGTCGAGGAGAAATCCTTTTGCCTCGTCATTCTGCTTCTTCTTCCTCATCTTCTTCTCCTTTTCTGCAAGGTAAGGTAGGTGATATTGTATCCTCATTATGCCGCTTTTTCACCATTCCGCAACCGTGTATTTAACCGCCTCAACATGACTAAATCTGGATATTTTCAAGGAAACATATATAGACTGCCTATTACGACAAATCTCCCTCTATTGCGCCTGACTATGGGTACTCCCGAAGGCTAGACTCGGTCACATTGAACTTGGCCTGCGCCATCAAAAGCTTCTCGCCGTCCATGTCAAACACCACGTATGCAGACTGCAGCATCGGCAGCCCCATGACGGCCGTGTCCTGGCTCGGGAACACGGGCAGCACGCACTGTCCCGGGCGCGCATCCTGGACGAGCTCCTGCGGCACGACGAGCGTGTCCATGGGCGCCCTGATCGTGATGGCATCATTATTGAACCTAAACACCATGGCGCTATCGGCCGTCAGCTTCTGGCAGTCGATGAGCCCGAGGCCGTCTTGTTCCGAGAAGGTCGTGCCCAACGCCGTGGCGAGCATCTGCATTGAGGGGGCGGGTAAGAGGATAGAGGGAGCCCCGGTATCCATCAGGGCCACGGGAAGGCCGTCTCGAGGTGTGAGGTCCGTAGTGGCTGCTGCTGTCCGAGGTGCGCCGTTGTTGGTGGGCGATGAAGAGTTTTTCCCGTTGCCGCCGCTAATACCCGTCTCCATGGACACAGAGCTAAAGTTGATCACGAAGGAGGGCAGGGCGCCGTCGTTCGTTCGTTCTAGAGGCACTTCCTGAAGCTGGCCCTCGAATTTGGCAGTGTCGATGCCTCCGTAGATGATGGAACCCGTCTTGGCTCCTGATTTTACTCGTCAGACGTTGTCGGGCAGACATGAACGGCATGGGCCATACTTACGAACATCATTGGTGTAGACGCTGAAGGCGTTCGACTTGATCATACCAATCTCCTTCATGTGCGCAGGCAGGTTTGGGTATAGATTCGCAAAGTTGCCCGCCTGGCGCCTGAGCTTCCTGCCCTGCTGAGGCTGCGTAGGGCCCACGGCCTCGCCTTGGACGGGCCCGACGCCAAAGACGGGGAACAGCGGCGCATCGGGCGGCAGCGAGCCGCTGGTGAAGATGCCCACCGTCGTGCCCGTGACGGTCTGCCCGTCCATCGCTAGATCGAGCGCCGCAAAGTCGCCGTTGAACTCAGCGCCATTGACAAAATTGGCTTGCAATGTTAAACCCTTGACGCGAGCGAGACCAGCCGGTGTGTCAAAGGCACCCGTGACGAAGCCAGATGCCGAGGAGTTGTCGCACTGCTGGGCAGGGTTCTGGCAAATGGAACTGCCCTTCTGGGGAACGATGATATCGCTGCTACCCGTGTCGAAGAGAGCATTGATGGTTTGGTTCTCAAGCGAAAACTGGACAAGAGGGATAAAGGGGCCTGACGCTTGCGACTTGAAGTGGATGAGGTCTGTCTGGACAACTTTCGGGTTCTGTTGTGCGTTCGCGAAAGCGAGCAGAAGGCAGAGGTACGATATGGAATACATCCTTTGTTTCTGTGCAGGCGGCAGTTAGGCTTCGGTTAGATGTTGGTGTGATATCCTCGAACTCGCAAACCGGCTGGAACGTATGGACATATGAGTTTAAATGTCCTTGTCGTTGAGGCCTCGAATGTCTGCGCGATCACACTGCTACCAGGACCCTGTATGTTCTGACTACAAAGATCAAGCGGGAGATACAACGATGTTTCGCGCTTGGGACTTCGTGCACCTCGTTGGCGTCGGAAAGGTTGAGTCCGGACATCATCTTCAGAACCGTGCCTGGCATGAGAGTCAGTTCTGGCACAGAAGCGAAAGGCTGTCCCCTGTCATCAACACGGCAGGTCCGACTTGCCGTCTCCCAAACGCACAGAAACCCACTCCCGGCAGTTTAATATGCTTGAAGCGTGACTTGGTCATGCCACGCACACCCACGGCCACCCGAGCCTTCAGCTTGATGGGCTTTCATCGGGCTGGTGTGATAATGCCGGAGCCGCCCACGTCCAGCCTCTCCCAATGGAATTGCTGCGTTCGGTGTCTGGCCATTATGCTGGTAACAGGCAAAGGTTCTGGAAGAGCAGCTGACGTGGCGAACCCGAGTCGTCCCAACCTTGAAACGTTCTTGAGGTTGCCTGACCAGATGATGTGCATGGTGGGTGGAACATGGGGGATGTCGAAATCTTGCTGGAGAAACTGACAAGTTACGTATCGCCCACTGTTGGTGTAGGGCTGAGAGCTGTCGATCCAGGGAAACACCACGTCGGGACCATAAGATCTGAAACAAGCCAACAGCATCGCCAGTGACACTAGCGCAGGGCAGTCAGCACAGCACCCGTCCCGGCCACTTTGAGAGGGCATGAATGCCAATTTTTGGGCATCACGGCTAGGAGTAATTAGTTCTCAAATAAGTAGGTGGTCTCTCTTTGTTTGTGCCGAGTGCCGAGTGCCGAGTGCCCAAGCTCCGAATTCGTCATGTTAACGCTCCCAGGTTCAAGGGCCGCCGACAAAGTGGATATAAGGTCAAAGTGTTCCTCTCCGTGGGCCGCGCCGAAGCACCGAATGGGGCCCGTGGGAAGGTCCGGTTGCCGAAGGGCGCATCGTACGAGCGAAAGGGCGCGATTGATCAATCCGATCTCATCAGCAGTCCCTTGTTTGCTCAGCAATCTGGCAAGGTTCCAGGCAACCTTCTAATCTTTAGCATGAAGATGTATCAGATCCTCGCCCGCTACGGCACAATATTGTAGCACTAAATATTGATCAGAGCATGATATAGTATTGCTACCATGTTTGACTTAGAGGGCCAGACGCGTCGATACGTCTTTTGAGAAGTTGAATCTTCCTTGGATGTGAGCTTAGCTGGCTGTTTTGAACAGTCTCGATAGATGGTTGCAGTCACTACCGACCTAGGTAGTCAGGTACTACATGTCTAACTAGGTACCTTCTCTAAAGAAAAATATGGTACTTTACCTAAGATACCCAGGTAGATACATAGATATCTAGGTAGGTAGGTAGGTATCCAAACTTAGGGGCTTGCTTTCAGACCCCCTCCTCACGGGGAGGCACGATACAGCCCTCGCCTGCCGTACAACGAAAGCCCGCGATACAGCAGACTGCTGCTGCCTGCCTTGTGATCTGGTCTTCATTGTTCCCGTATTGCTACGTTCGATGCCTAAGGTACCTTGCCTCAACAGAAGAAAGACACTTGACATCTATCTGGTACAAACGTCTTTGGAACAAGGCTGCCTTTCTCTGGGAGCCGTCTCTTGTGTCCTCCCAGGACCTGGTGCCTCTGTAATCTACCACCCGCTTCAGCATGCGTGCTCTGATCTGAATTTCACACCATATCTCAAGAACTCACGCCTGTCAGGCAGTGCTCTAGTGAACCAATCTATCGTACCGCTTGAGCATCTTGGACAAGCTCTGCACGCAGCGTGTACTCGCCTTGACAGGGCAGGCAGCAGTCACGACGCCCTCACCAAGAGATCGCATGCCAGCTAACAACGCGTTTGCGGAAATTTCCACTCCGCATCTCAACAAATAAAGGTTCGGTCAACCCCACCAGCTTCTTTCCTACCACTGTTTGATGTGAAGAAACACGAGAAGGGGGATTCGGTAGACCTCAGTACGAAACAGACTCATCGAATCACGCATTATCGCGAGATCAAATTCTCAGTGTTTGGTCATGGTTCCCGCCACAATGACGGCCCTTTCGGAGGGTCTAGTCATGATCAACCCTGTTCCCTTGCCCTCCACGGCGGCCAGCATCATCAAGGAAGCCAAGGAGCGTTCTTCCGTCGTAAGTCATGTCCCAAGCTACCAGTTGCCGGTGACCTCTGGATCTCGCGTTCTGCGTAAAATCCATGGTCCTCAAAATGCATCAGTCACTCATACCAAAGTCGTCCACAGTTCGCAGAGATCCTTTTCGATCCTGAGAGCAGCTGCTTCAAGATTATTGCTTACGAGAATAATATGGATGCTGTCGTGTCCGAAGTCCTCAAGTTGGTGAAGGACAATAGATCAAAGCCCGGAAATTTTGTCAAAGACCAAGAGAAGATTGACTTTACAGAGTATGATCATCTCCGGTATCCAGAATCCTTCGCTGTTATGCCGTTCCGCGCGATCAATCGCGACCTTGCCGTAATGGACTACCCAATCAACTTGGCCAAGATCATGAAGACCCGCGGCTGGAGCCAGTATGAAGGCTCGGATCAGTTCCAGAGAAGAACTGGCTGTACCATCTCATCCAACCTCGAGGGCACAACCATCTACCTGGGTGCTCACGAGGAGAAAAAATTGCAGCTGGCTCACGAGACGCTCCGCATTATCATCGAGGACACCGTACGTACTATTGCGAGCAAGAACGACAAATGTTGAATCCTAACAGCCTTTGAGGTGAAACAGGTGCAGCGGGAGCGCAAAGCCGAGCTTCTCAAGTTCGATTCCACTGCTGATGTGACCACGAGCGTACCAACCAAGGTTGCTGCTAGCTTCTATCACAAGGGTCACAATGGCCCACTTATCGACTTTGAGCAGGATGATGCCCCGGATACCGCCACAACCAACTGGCTTGAGGACATTCAGCGAGATGGCGCAGGCTCCTCAATAATGATCACGGATGCCTCTGTCGGTGCTCCGTCTGAACAACTTGACACTGTCAGTCAGCTTGCTCACAAAACGGAAGATCTGAAAATCGGCCGCTCCAAGCAGAAGCAGCACGGATTCAAGAACCAGACGCCAAAGAGAAACAAGAAGTGGGAGCCAAAGCGGACGCCCGAGGAGCAACTTCAAGGTGCACTCAACGATCTCATGAACGGCAAGGACGTCGCCCGCTTTCACTGGCCAGGGGCCGGCGTTTCGTATAACCACGTTAAGCAGGTTGTCGAAGCGAACAAGGACGCTGCCAAGTCAGATGTACACCTGATGGATATATGCACTGAGGACCAGGCAGCATTCGACTGCAACTATGCTGGCCTTGAGAAGCTAGGTCAAGCGAACCAGGCTGCTCGCCCAAAAGCCGTACCTGCCAGTATTGGGGATACAAATCTGATAGATATTGCAGACAACGCAAGCAACAGCAACTGCGAACCGTGCAGGCAGGCTGCGGTTTTCGATGGCCCTGTGCCAGATGATCTCTTGGATTAAGAGGTCGTTCCTCGCGTCACCTTATCTTCAGGCACCACTGGGCGATGGAAAAGCGAATTTCAGCGTATGATGGGTCGCTGTTGGCGGGAGGCTAAGAAATACATGGCCTTTCCTCGGGGCGGATGAGAAATAAAGATGATCGTATGACCAGTGTGCTACCTCGATGTGAAAGGTCGTTGAATTTAACGTGATGATCGACGCTCAGTGGGGGGCCCGTACGTAGCCAGCGGCTGCGGATTTTGTTTGGCCCCTGGAAACAACCAAAATACCCCTCCACCAAGAATCACAACTTCATCCACCATCTCACTAACAGCCAACAAGAGTCTGAACACCATAATCTGACGGCCACGCTCTGAATAGATTCAACAAGCAGTGCCACACAGTTCACCGTCTACCTGCATAGCTTCTCTCTTGAATCGTACCAGTCAAGCACGCTCGCCCACCGCGGCATCGGCAGCGAATCCCGCCCAAGATGGACCCCGCCTACCAAATCCGCACATCACCCTCTAAACATCGCGCCCTGCACGCAGCCCGCGCCCTCACCCCAGGCGCCCTCATTGCCGTCTTTCCCTCTCCAACCGCGCGCTCTGCCACTCCCGCAGCCTCCTCCTGCCCCCTCCCGTCGCCGGCGCCGGCAACCCTCGTGGTGCCCCCCATGGTCGCCCGCACCACAATCTGCAGCAGCTGCCTCGCGACGCCGCCCTCGCCGCGCCGCTGTACAGCCTGCAAGGCGACGGCCTACTGCGACGCCGCGTGCCAGAAGAGCCACTGGTCGTCCGTGCACGCGCGCGAGTGCGCGGCGCTACAGGCGGCGGGCGGCGAGGGCGCCGTGCCGGCGTACGTGCGGATGGCGATGCAGGTGCTTCTGTGGCCCGAGAAGTTCGCGGCCGTCGAGGCGCAGCTGGACGGCAATGTGGACAGGTTCGAGGGGCGAGCGGAGGCGTGGGCGGGCATGGAGGTGCCGGCCAAGGTCGTGGGGGGCTGGGTGGCTGCTGGGGCGAAGGGGAAGGGGAAGGGCAAGGGCAAGGAGAAGGCGGTTGAGGTGACGGAGAGAAGGGTCGTCGAACTGCTGTGCAAGGTAGGATTCTTGTCTTGTTCTCTGGGCGGACGAGGTGCTCGGAGCTCTGTTGGCTGACGGGCGCAGATCAAGACGAATGCGTTTACGAGGAGCGAGGCTGGAGAGGGGCTCTTTCTGGATACGACCTTGGCCATGGTGAACCACTCTTGCGTACCGAATGCTATTGTCGCGTTCAGTGGGCGAAGAGCGTTTCTCCGCGCCCTGAGAGATATCAAGGAGGGGGAGGAGATCGAGATTTCGTATATTGGTATGTATTATCCGTGAAGCCAAGCTGTACATGAACTCACGAGGACAGACTGCACTCAATCCCTCGAACATAGGAGAAAGGCGCTTGAGTTGTATTTCTTCCAATGCGTCTGTATGCGATGCAAGGAGGACCTAGACAACTACCAGCTCGCCGCGCGCGCGCCTACTTCAACCATCAAGCTCAACAGTTTCAGCGTTGTGCCAGCCCCACACAAGTATCGCGAAACTCACGGGGATCTTCAGGGCACCGCCCAGGCCGCCGGCCGGGAACGAAGGGTCTACGGAACTCTGCCCTCGTCGAGAGACTTCCCGTTGCCCGAGAGACGGCGCCAGCTCATCCACTCCTACGCCTCGGCCACGAATGGCGACTCGGACAGGTGGGCTATCGAGCCGACGAGCTACTTCCTGCAAGAAGCCTTGACCTACTACAAGTCTGTCGACAAGTCCGAGGCCGCGCTGGCCGTTGCCTCGCTGATTGCCGTCGAGAGCGATCCCTACAAATACGTGGAGCCCTTCCACGTCCAGAGGGTCCAGGGGCTGATGGGCGTCGCCAATATTCTTTTGGGCATCCCCCCAGGGGGCGACGTGCTTCCCTCGTTTGCCCGAAAGATTGGGAAATACACCGATTTCCCGGCTGCCAAGTCTAGCGCCCTGACCAACGTGGACTACATGTCTCTTTGCCAGATGGTGCTGGTGCTCGTCGTCAAGTGGGCCCCGCTGGGACACTCTCCGGAGTGGGAGCTCTTCCTCCTGTACCGAGAGCAGCTGCAAGAGATCGAAGCGCTCCCTGGAAGGGACCGTGAGAACGGCATGATCAGGGCATGGGCTTCCGACCCCAGCCAGATGGCACAGTTCTTTGACTTCGCTGTCGTCAAGCCGATGGCGTTGCTGGCAGAGCTGGGTAAGGCAGTGCTGGCGGTCGATTTTGCCAAGGACAAGAACGTCTGTAATTTTTGAGCCTTAAACAAGTCCATCATGGGAAGGCGTGTATATGGTGTCGTAACACCTGGCCACCCCTTTTGTTGGCCTGCTTGTCCCACAACGTCTGCACCGGGCAATGGTTGCGATTCTCCCACGAGGCACGTCCGATGTAGATGCATTGTCAATAAGTCATCTGGCTGACCGGTGAGTGTCACGGGGAGTACTTCTCGTGGTAGAGAGGATGGGATGTGACAAGGACAACGTGCGTTTGAGTGGGCTGACCGCCGCTCATGAATTTTGCAAGGCATCTATCTACCTTATGCTGCCCTTCGTTTCCATCTTCTGGCGACAGACATGGAGGGACCCGAAAAGCAAAGACAAGTTCAATGTCGAACGCTAGGACAGTCAAGGGTTCAGATACACGTAGTGCTTGTCAGCTGAATGGCTTGTAAGGGGGCATCAGAAGAGGCTTCTGGTGAGGCCATGCCCCATACCGCCTCGAGGCCCTGGGTGAAGTTGCATGAGAAGGAAGGCGCTAAGAAGTGCGCTAGAAGGCTGCACACCCCTGCCACCTGCCTCCAACTGGATCTGGGTCAAGAATAAGCAATCGCATCCCCTTGTTGCCCGTTGTACCTGCACTTTCGTCACCGCAGAAAAATTGCCCGTGCCTACCTCAATTTGTATCGTACTTGCCTCCCAAAAACATCCTACAACCTGCAACAACCACATGCGCCAGCCTTGCCCTCAACACCCATGAGGCAGCCACTGCTCTAGCGACTCCCCGTCTCCCCTCGACTTCGCGCCCCACCATCATGGGCAAGAACAGAAAGCAAAAGGCTGAGCGTCTCCAGCTCGAGGCACAAGCTGCCGCTCAAGCTGCGACAGCAGCTCTGAGCCCTGGCGGTATCGCGGACAGCATCGCCCAGCTCCAAGCAGCCGCCGCCGCCGCCGAGGCTGAGGCTGAAGCCAGCAGCAAGTTGCAAGGAACCGCCTTGGCTCGCGAGAGCTCTGACCAGAGTGCAAGTAGCGGTACCAGCCTCAAACGTGCCGCGCCCCACGACGACAACGATGGGGACCAAGACGGCGGCGGATGGCAAAAGGTGGAGAGGTCCAACAAGAAACTGAAGAAGGTGCCCAAGGAAGGCTCTTCCTCCTACCCCTCGATCGCTTTCGCCTCGTCGGCCAAGCTGTTTTCCAAGATCAACGTCTCCCAGCTACGCGACCTCTGCCTCTACATCTTCGCCGACGGTCCTGCGCCAACATGGATCGCCGTCCAACACCGACCTCAGTTCCGCAAGGTTGTCGTCCTCATGATACCTGGCCTCGAAGAAGCCATGTTCACCGGCAAGGTGGACTTTGGCACGTACAACTCGGCTTCCACCAAGGATGAGGAGCGGACAATCACGACACCCGACGACTTTTACCCCCGCCTGCTCAAGTCCGACTACCTCCCCCCGGTGCTGCAGCCGTGGCTCGACATGTTCCCCCATCTGTGGCCTGTGAGGGCGCCCGGCGACGACAAGCATATGAAGCTGCACTCTCCCATGGGCACCTTCCTGACGGCGCCCCTCGCCAAGACCAAGGACAAGGGCGTCAAGCCCGCCAAGGAGCCCAACGGCTGGAAGAACGAACGGACGCGCATCACCGAGTTTCTGGCCTCGGTTGATGAGCTCGAGGCCAACGGCCACCTTATTCATCCGGCCCTGATCGACGATGAGGCCAAACGCGCCGCGTTCAAGGCACCTGACGGATGGGTCGTCACGAGAGTCGACAAGCTCGAAGACGCTGACGTGCCCGAGGCAGAGGTCGAGCAGGGCAGCGTCACAGCCGGCCGGGAATGCTTGGCTCTGGACTGCGAGATGTGCATGACAGGCGAGAGCGAGTACTCTCTTACCAGGATCAGCGTCATCTCCTGGTCCGGCGAGGTCGTCATGGACGAGCTCGTCAAGCCCGACAAACCTATTACCAACTACGTCACCCAGTTCTCGGGCATCACCGAAGCCATGCTTGCGCCAGTCACAACAACACTGCGCGACATTCAGAACAAGCTCCTCGACCTCATTACACCACGCACCATTCTCATCGGACACTCACTCGAGTCTGACCTCAAGGCTCTCCACCTCTCTCACCCTTTCATCGTCGATACATCCCTCATCTTCCCCCACCCTCGCGGCCCGCCTCTCAAGTCTTCTTTGAAGTGGCTTACGCAGAAGTACCTCAACCGCGAGATTCAGCGCGGCGGAGCCAACGGCCACAACCCTGTGGAGGATGCTCGCGCCTGTCTCGACCTGACTCGTCAGAAGTGTGAAAAGGGCAAACTCTGGGGCAGCTCCGATGCGCAAGGCGAGAATCTCTTCCGCCGGCTCGCACGGGCAGGCACATCCTACAAGGCACAGGGAGGTGATGCAGCGCAGGGTGGTGTCGTCAGCGGCAAGACAAGCGCCGCCGTTGACTGGGGCGACCCGTCCAAGGGTCCTGGCGCCGGTGCTACTCACCAGATCGGCTGCCGTTCCGACGAGGAAGTCACTGAGGGCGTCATCCGTGCCGTCCAGGGCGACCCCGATGGTGCCGTGATTCGTGGTGGCGGTGTCGACTTTGTTTGGGCACGAATGCGCGAGCTCGAGGCGCACCAGGGGTGGTGGAATCGCAACCGCGGCGAGAATGGCGGCATTGGGCCGCCCGACGTCGAGCCCGAAGCCGCGCCAGGCGATGAGAGGCCGCCCCTCGAGCGATGCCTTGCGCGCCTGACGGAGAGGCTAGGGCGCATCCACGCGGCTCTACCCAAGTGCACGGCTTTCATGGTTTATTCGGGCTCTGGCGATCCGCGCGAAATGGCGCGTATGCAGGCGGTTCACGCACAGTGGCGCAAAGAATACAACACCCCGGGTAAGAAGTGGGATCAGTTGAGCGTCAAGTGGACAGATGCAGAGGATCAAGCGCTCAAGAAGGCGGTCAGACGGGCGAGAGAAGGACTGGGCTTCATCTCGGTCAAGTGATCTACGGGCTCAGCGGGTGAACAAAAGAAATTGCTGTAGTCTGGCCCTACAGGCGTGAGAGGAGGAAGAGGGTCTGTAACCGGCCATCTCTGCGACGATACCCTAGGTGTGGGCTCAGCCGGCTTGGCTAGCCTGTTGATTTTCTCTTGCTCCTGGTGAGTGGACTATTCAGCTGAGCATGTATCTCTCATGATGCACCAGAGGGTGGTTATGATCGGACAATGACATTACGATCAAGAATCTGACTCGGTGGTGACACAAGTCCTCTGTATCCTGTCCAGTCTTGGACTGTTTGACATGCCCCTCAGATGTACGATATTCCTTGTGATTGCAACAAGCCGAAAGAATCGAGGGACCTTGGTATCATGTGAATGGCTCGAAAGAATCGTCTCGGATGTACTTGAATGATTACTCGTTGCACCGCTTCGTTTTACATTGCCCGCCAGCACAGCACATCTCACTTTCATCCACGGCTTGACTGCACTTCCAACCAGGAAGAGACCTTGGCATATTCGGCCTTCTAGTGGCTTTCCCGCCCGGTGTGACCAATACCCCTAGGACAACAGAACATAGCCAGCAGATCTCGCCATGGAGGCAGAGGGCGGAATCAGCCGCAGCCCCCAACAATCTGTCCCCCAACACCGAGAAGAATGAGGCAAGACAAGGCGAAGCAAGGCAGGGCAAGGGAGTAACGGCAAAGTACCACGGCACATGGCACGGGTGGTCCCAGGCGCAACACATAAATGCGGGATCTCCGAAGGGGGGGGAGGGGGTGTGGGAGAAGCAGAACGATCGGCGAACTGATCTCAAGTACATGTGAGAAACGTCCCGCGTCGGCGGTCAGTCGTTGGTCTGGCGGTGAACCAACAAAACCCCGTGCGAGAGAGAAAGACAGAGACAGACTGTGTCTGTGCGGTACCTCCATCAATGCGTGTTCCTGTCTCTCTCTCTCACACACACGCATTCATGCCACTCAACTACCGAGACACCTTGCCTCCCCGATCTTTTTCGTCGGAATCCGCGACTTGTGTTTCAGGGAACCGCTGCCCGCGAGCCGTCCCCGAGAGACACCCTGCCGAACAACCGAAGATCAAGATGTCTCGCAGTCGAAATGAAT